TCTTTCCTAGGAAAAATTGAAATGCCATGAGTTACTGAGTTGTAGAGAGAAATTATTGAGTCTCCTCTTACTCCTGAAGAACCAACAAAACAAACAGGGAGGTATCCAAGCCTAGCCAAATTTAAAACCATTTATTTAATTTGCTGGCTTTGTAGTTTTTCTTGTTTTGGAAGGAGGCTGGTTTGCCATTCAGAGCTATTATTCTATATGTCCATGTTAACCTTTTCAAAGATAGAGCTCCCTTCATAAAACCAGAATCCACGGAATTTATCAAAGCATACGACTCCTCCAGCAACATCAGTAACACTCAGAGCTACAGCTGCTAATTTCCTCTCACACAGAGATTTGTTACCAAACCATAATTTCTGGAATCAAAACATAGAGTTTAGCCATGCCATTTAATTTATCTGTGCTAAACATACTACACTCTCAAAAGACCACATTTTAATTCCTATCCGAAACTAGAAAATTGTACTTGGCAGGAATTTTTCTCTAGAAAGAGGCTACAAAGTGCCAGCAGAGTCATTCTCTGAGTCCTGCTACAGCCATCCTTTCCATTCTTTGGTAGCAGATTTTGTCAAGAGTCATAAACACATAGACCATACATACATGTGCGTATATGTCTGTATACTTTTCATACACACACAAAGCACTCAGCTGCCAAACCTCAAATATGGCACACAACATGATCAAAAATTAAAAGGAGGTAAAAAACCCAAAGTGATTAACACAACACATTTGGAAGACTGGGAGAAGCATTCCCGCATGATCTACATAGATCTTCTTATAGTTTCATCATCAGAATTATTTATTTATGATATAAAAATGTTTCTATAACATAAGCCAGATCAGATTTGTGTAGGATCAAGGTAGCTCCAAAACAAATCTGAAGCATCCTCTGACAGGAAAGACTTAAAAGGTCTTTTTTGACCTCCTCATGCCTCAAGATTTACTAGGTTTTTATTTTTATATTACTTACCAGGCAAGGGATGAATTTTAGTAGCAGATATGGTTCTTCTTGCATTTCTAGAACTCTTTCTTCTTAGAACAGTCAAAACTGCTGCCACTCTGTGTTTACAATCTGTTTTAAACAAAACGCGTTATCCTCATAACACAGAATTACATACGGTATTGATTAGACAAAAAAAATGGTAAATACCTTATTCTTAAACGCCTTCCATGAAAAAAACAGGAAGGTTTTGAAATAAAGTGATGAGGAAAACCCAGGGCCAGATGTTTTATACTTTCCTGAACAAAATTTTCTGGAAATTCCATTTAGCTTTGCCCTTTTCAAATTATTCCTTCCCTCCTCTATACTGTGTACCTTGAACAAATTTTGGAAGGTTATCAAAGAAGTACATGTTCCAGTACAGGTTCAGACTCACACTACTGACAGTGGAATAGCAAGGATGGAGTGGACTGGCACCCTAGCAAGCTGATAGATTCTTTGCAAGCGTGGAGTGTTCATCCTTGGAAGCACAGTTTGAGAGCTGGGTTGAACACCTCTGACTGTCCTCAGTACCCAGTTCACAAACTCCTCAGTCTTTCCACCCTTCTGCTGCTCTCTTAGAACTGTGCTCTTGGTGGGGTTATTGCAGTTGATTATGCAGCTGTTATGGTTAGCCCTTTCCTACAATTGCAGCAGTTGAGAGCTTATCCAGCTTCTGATGACAGGCTCGCTCCAATTCTAAGTAACAAAATTGATTTTTATCTTTTTCTTTTGAGAACACTAGAAAACTTCATCTTTAAGAAATTCATTAAACTAGCATTATTTAGGTCATGTTTTTTTTAAGAATAGCCAGTGGAGATCTAATGTGCTGAAGCCCTAAGCATGCATTCTAACAGTTAATGTCAAAGGAAGCTCTGGAAACGTTTATAAGATGAGAGTGGAAGGGAAAGGGCAAAATGGCTAATTTCTAATTTAGCTCCTTTGTCATGGAACAGATGTAACCTCCACCAAGTTTATTTGGATATTTTATTTTATACACTCACGGAAATAACTTCATTAATGTTTCAGAGAGTCTCAGAGTCTGCCTAGCAGAATGTCTTGGAAGGTCTCAAGAGGAAATGAATAATTCCATATATCTTAACAGCTTTCAGTAGTGCTCAGAAATTAAGAGAAAAGCTACTAACTGAAATATGACTGTAAAAATTCTTAGCAGCTGTTTTAGACACATAGTAATACTGCTGTGTTCTTTGAGCAGCACTAAAAAAGCAGTATATAGACTTGCAATTAAAGGTGGCCTTGCAATATACACACATAAGGAATACAGCCCTTAAATCTGATTTTTATGTGCTTGTCATTTTTTCAGTAACATATCAATGTTGTTTATAATGTTACACATCATGAATTTAACTAATAAAACCACTATTCCTCTATTAAGAGAAAAGGTATTCTAGAAGCAAATGAGTAATTGGAAGCCTCAAAAGGGCATCTTTTTCTCCCTGCTTGTATCCATGACTGTTCTAAAAAACCTTCATTTAATAGAAAACTGATGTTCAAAATAAAGGCAGTAAATCATTAATCATCACTACCAATAGTTCTGCATTAAAACTGGGATGCTATGACTCAAAACATAGAAAATCATACTCATGACATTTATAGGTAGCTTTGAAATTGCAAATAAAAGTCCTTTAAATTAGAGCATTTAATAGCCCACTTATAAAGACCTAATTTACACTTTGTGGGATTTTTGCATACGTAAAATAGGTCTCAGAATTTGAGTCTAGCAATAAGCCAAAGATCATGTATTTTAACCACTAGAGTTTCTCTAATCATTTGGTGGGGGGCCACAGATTTACCATTTTAAGCAACTATTTTTCTTATTCATTAAAAACATATGCATAAAATATTTACATTATGCAAAAAAATCACAGAAACATTTTGTGTGTGGGCACTTTTCTTCCTTCTGTTCAGTTATGGTTAAAACTAGACTCGTGTTGGTTTTTCGTTACAAAACCGCCTGTGGATACAGTAAGGACAATCGGGGAATGGATATGGCTCATCATTTTTTTATCACCCCTGTGACCAAGCTCTGGACAATGAGGGTAATGGATATCTGCCCAGTAACAGCAACTAAGTGCTGGTTGTCCAGAGGCGTTCTGCCCACTCAGGGCTGACACAGGCAGAACGTCTCAGGAAATCGCTGTGAAAAGCATCTCACAGCTATTATCTCAGGGAACACGTTAAGTAACACCCTTTTCACATGGATGAAAGGGAGTGTGCTCCCTGTACCACCTATCTCTGACTGGGGATGAAAAACAAGGAACAACAGCTGACAAGTGGTCAATTTGCTGCATTACTTTTGTGCAGAGAACTTTATCTTGATTGCTCAAAAGTCTCAAGCTCAAGGTACTCCTACACTTTTATTCTTGCTTTCTTCACTGTGTATTGCTAGAAGAAATACTGAAAATCCGGATTTCAGCCAAAAAGTGAATTGCATAGGAAGAGCCTGTCTTGGCTGCTGAAATCATTCTGTTGAAACAATTGTTTCAGTCTCTGAACTAAGGAAAAGTTCTTTCATACTAAAGTTTTAATTACTTGGATTAGTCAATAATGCTGATTCAGAAATCACAGCAATATTTTCTTTGCTGAAATAACAGCAAAGAGAAGAAATGTTATCTGGGCTTAATTCAGCTCTGGGGTTAAGGCATAGATTGGTTAGCCTGCATGGGATTACACCACCGCTGAATTTATATAACCAGTTTTTAGGACAGACAGCTGAGTGCATATCTCCTGAAATCTATCCTGTAAGTTTTCTTGACCATGACCTAAATGAATCATCTTCAGGGAGGAAAGGGCATTTCAATCTGCTTATATTGGTCATTGCCTTTCTGCTTAAGACCTTCAAGAAGGTTCAGCTGTAATTGTTTCATCTACTGGAATCAGTCTGAAATCGGAAGTTCATACCACTACAGGATCATAGGTCACCACCAAGCATCTGTCAAAAAAACCAATATTTCATTCACCATCAACAAGCTTGGATTTGCATCCCCAATTCAGAGGTAAGAGGTGATAGTATCAATCATCTAAATATTCCAGTCCCTCTATAAGAAGCTTTTAGCATATTACAATTAAAATATTGGTGTCTGAACCACATTAATAAACAACAGCTTTGTTATTGTAAATTAATACATTTTTCATTGCATAGAAATTTAAATTCATGCCGATTAACTTTAAGTTACTTACAGTTTTGTTCATTTTCTTGGACTATTTTGTAGATGACAATTGAAACAGTAAACACAAAGACTACTGGAATCATAGTGAGCCAAATGATCTTCGTCATACACATTGGATCTGTCCATAAAATGCAGAAGACATAAAATGAAGCAGGAAATCACTGGCAGAGAAAAGCAGAACATTCGATCTTGGTAGGCTTTTGGACCATGCTTATCCCCCAGCAGATGAAAATTTAAAACAAAATAGAAGATTATGCCTTTTTCTTTTAGCCTTCTTTGTTGTTTGAAATTAAGTTCTCTACCTAGAATTTAGCTTCATTTTCATCTATATCTGTCTCCCCATGTCTGAAATGGTTATACGCAGCTAAGTGAATGAAAACTTTTCCTATTTGTACAAACTGTTATATACAACTCAGGTTGAAAATGCTTCAAAGATCAACATTTATATTTGTTGTAGAACAAGAGTAATATATATCCCCTATTTGTTTGGATGGAGCACAGAAGGAATTTGTCCACTGTCCAACTGACATTCTCAACCTCCTGGCCCATCTTCATATATGGGAGAAGGTAAGATTCTACATACAGAAATTTTTGCATCAAAAAGTGAGAAAACGCCACCAACAGGACCCCTCTGAGGAGTTCTTTTAACCAAAGCTGCCTTGGGGGAGAATCAGTGTAGGACTGGGTGTAGGAGGTAGGCTGCTCTTTCGGACAACGGCTGCTGCAGAAATGCACCCATGTTCCGCACGGAATGTGTTCAATAACTAGTACAAGCCAGGACTATATTTTTTTAAGAGTGTGGGGAACTTTCCTCCCTGGTTGTTCAAAAAACCTTTCAAACTCCTTTGGCAGCTCCATGTTAATGCATACCTTAGCATTGTCAAATAACTACTTTAAAAAATAACTATGTTACTATGACTCATATAAAATCAAATTACAGACTACAGCCAAACCACTGTTTTCCTTTCCTTGACTTAGAACAGTATAATTAGACCTACATCAACTTCCCCTGTGTATCTTCTCCATTGAGAAGTCCTGAGGTACCTGCCAATAACCCCATGGCTCTTTGAGGGAAGTAGAGCTCATCCCTCCTCATTTAGAACTAAAAATATCTTTTTTACAATGATTTAGGCTCCTTTCAAACAGAGTACTCTACCCCATCCTGCAGTGACTTGTAATGACTTGTACATCAACCTTGCCTAGTCAAAGCCCTGAGCACCTGCTAGCTTTGTTTTCAAGTAAACAGAAAAAAAAGATGTGTTGTTAATTTTTGTTGTTGATATGAAATAACTACTTCCCAGGTAAATCACCTTTAGCAAAGGGCGGTTAGCTCAGAGTTTTGACACAAGTTAGCAGGGCAAGTTACAAACTATACTCCTCTCATAGCTAGACCTACTTATTAAAAAAAAAAAAAACACCACAAAACACAACAAAACAACTAAGTGGCCCTCACTTACCTAGGATTGTACCTGGGCTTACTTAACATAGGTTTAGCAAACTCCAAAACACTTTTTTTTTTTTTTACCAGCAAAAATACAGCATAAAATTCATTAGCCATACAAAACTAAATGAATGTAATAATTCAGCAATTCCCAGATCGCAAGCGTTGCATATAGACGGGCTGGAAGCTCTGACCATGGTCAGGCAACCAGCCAAAAAACTCCTGCAGCACAAAGAGAAATTTAAAAAGCTGACAGGCTGTCCTCAGGGAAAACTAAGCTTAGTTGTGCTAAAGGTTTCTCTTTTAAGTGTACCATAGTAAGGCTGTATAGTAGGATATTGCAGTATGATGTTATGGAAAGTCAAAGCTGTCTCCTGGTTCTTCTGCCATTGAAGTTAACAGGAATTTTTTTATTTACCTCCAAGACAACAGGGTTATGCCATTATCAGGGAGAGGAGAGAAAAAAGTAATTCCAGTTTTTGCCATACATGCAACTTGTGATTCTGTCATCACTAAGCAAAAAAATGTACAGACACTTACTTTGCTGTGTTGCTTCTAGGAAAGCCAAGACTAAGCCTGCTTAAAATCACTATAAAAACTGCCAGTTGCCTACTAAAGATGGTCTTTTACTAAGGGATTATCAAAATTGTACTCTTTTCTTGTTAAATACTTAAATACTTTCAAATGGTTGCTGAAAGCAGAGAACTACCTACTGGAGATTTTTTGCAAGATTCATGTAGTTTCTGGTTTAATTTCCATTCTGACTCTCCTTTGCAACTTACATTCCATGTAAGACTTCAGTTGCAGTGAAATATTTATACAGTCGTTTTGGTCTTCCATCATTGCCACTAGACAGGAATGATTTAGGTATTCTTCAGCTGCATTTCTTGCTCCGACTATAGAATTGTTGATGTGGATTTCCAGCAGGTAGTAAGTATCGTGCTCTACTTCTTCTTTCTCAGAATCCGTGGTGAAATTAAAATATTTATAAAAATAAATAACATCTTTTGTTTTCACTTCAACTGAGCCTTCTGCTTTTGGTACTAAAAATTGAAACAAAACTGTTATATAACATGTGGTAGACAAAGAGACTACTCAGAAAGAATAATAACATAAGTTCTCTGTCTCACTTGCAAAAACATACAGTTGGCTTTTACATTGACTGTGATAAAATGGACAAAAGGATACCATGTAAAGTTATTCTGAGCAGATCTGAAGTGTCTTGATTATCTATATGAAATATATTTTCCCTGCAAATTATAGCTGCTTTTTTGCTTTACTACCAGCTTCAGAGCTTTTCGGTTTTCTGTTGTTTCGTAATATGTCATCAAAGTTAACGCAGACAAAAATCAGGCTATGAAAAAAAAAAAGCAAGTAAAAGCCATACGATGACAGAGATTTGAAGTGTACATCTAGTCTATCTGCTATCGGTTGCAGAAGGTCCTTGTTTCACTTCAAATCACACAAGCTGTGAGACTTGCACACTGTTAACAAGAAACATAGGTAGGTAAGACATTGTCAAAAGTGTTAGAGTTGTGGAGGTATAACTTAGAACAGTTTGTCCACATATGTTTCATTCTGTTATTTTCCATATGTGTTAAGATAGCTATTTTGTAATAAGAAAATGATGCATTTGGAAAAGAACTGCATCCGTTACATTCAGGACTTGGCTCATTGCCCCTGTTGCTGACAATGTTAGGAGAGCAAAATTCAGAGGCATCCTCTTCCCCAAAAGTTTCCAGATATTTTGCAAGTGTATACGTCACAGAAGGAATACTCTGCTACTGCTATGAAAAGATGTGGATGTTGCTGAACTCTTCTCTGTACTGCTGTGCCAGTCCTTATTCAGTGTTATTCATGGTTTTGGAGATCACAGACTACAAGCAAAAAAAGAGGTTATTTCTTGCATAGCTGCCATCTGAATAGTCACCATCTTTGAATTAGTTCTTCAGATACTCGCTCACAACCTGTCATCCTATAATATCAGCAACCAACACACAGAGTTTCACAATGACATTTAAAAGCAAATTCAGGTTGAAAACTGATCAGAAACTACAGGTCCCTACAAATAAATGAAATATTTTAGAGAATTTAGCAAGATTAAAAGAATAAAGATAGGGATATAAGAGTGTTCCTAAAAGCCAGGTGGTAGAGGTCAAATTTGCAACAGAAATATTTCAGGTGGCTGCTGGATGGGGCACTTTTCTCACAGCATCCTCCTTCCAGACCAATACAAAGCCCTCTGAAGATAATGACACCTTCCCACACATGATTTTATACAAGATCCTCAAAGGAAAAAAATTAGCATTTTGCTACCAATATGTTTCACTGACAGCCAGGAACGAATGCCACTAAGAATCTAGCATAAAACCTGCATTTTCTAGCCATGCAAAGACAATCTAAAAAAAAAGAAAATTGTTCATAGATTTTCAAGGACCACAGAGAACCAGTAGCATAATTTTCTTTGAACTACCAAATGAAAACATGTCTTTTGTGTTGTAATTAACTACTTCAAATTAAATATTTCTCTTCTCCTACTTACATTTTTTAGCTGCAGCCCCTGATCCTTGATGATCAACATTCACATCTCTCTTGGATTCACACTCTGTGTGTCTAGTATGGGACTGTTGTTCCCTCCTGGAGGATTGGCAAATACATGGAATATTTTGGAAATTTGAATGGTTTAAAATGGCCTTCAGTAAAATAGTCTGGTTTTCTCTTCTTTGTCTCGGTGATCTTTTGCAAGAATTGTTAAAAGTACAAAGTGGAAAAGTGGTGGTGTTTGATGAACAGGTATCCATGCATGACACAACTACAGTGTTAGCTGTAGAAAAAAAAAAAAGAGTACTATATTAGCAAGACAGTCATATGGGACACATGGACAAATACGTGCATGGAAGCATTAGGTGACAGATAATTTAACCATCTCACAATGAAATGCACTTTCTTTCTTGAGGGTTATGGCAGCAGACTGAATGCATCAACAAGTGAGAGAAAGCAAGCACACAGTCTTCCCACGACCTCAATGCTGAATTTTATTGCTGAATTGTGTGAAATCTCTTGTAATACTAACTCAAATTTGTGGTGGTATCTAGTCACATTCCTGTTTCAAAGCTTCTCCGACTTGATTGTACTTGAAAAGAAGACGAAAGCCTTCCTGTCTGGAGGGGTAACTTGGCCCTGGAACTGAGCAGTTGCAACGAACGCAGCAGTGCAATTATGTCGTAAAATAGCTATAATCAGGATGAAAACTTTCTTTCCAATGATATTGAAACCAGACAGTGAAAATACACAGAAAGGCTGCTGAATCCTCCAACCACACCCTTCATGTTCTCTTATAGTCAGTCAACAAACACGATTCTTAATTATGACCATTGGTTTTGGTATTCATAGTCAAATTTCAGTATCAAATTACTGAATCTAGAGTACATTCATGCAGTTCTGGCAAGTAGCAAAAACCACACAGAATTAATTATTAATGAGTGTTATTTTAGCTGTCTTCCACATGAAAGTAGGGCTTCATTGTACAAATCATGCATTTTTACTCAAGTTAACTTTGAACTATTTTTTCAACATGAAAAAAATTTAAGAATAAAAAACTTCTGGAGCCCCAACACCAAATATATATTTATGAATACGGATAACCACTTCCTGGAGTTGATGCAGCACTAACCCATAGTTTTGCAGCTGAGCTTCCAACCAGCTAGCAGTACCTTTGTGCCTCTGAAGAGGACGTTTTGCATCTAACGCCCATTATGAATAATTGGAGTAATATGTTCATAAATCCTTATGTACAGAGAGAAAAGCGTAGCCTTTAATTGCTCCAGTGCTCAGCCACAATCTGACAGCTTCAACAGGCCACCTGTGCTCACATCGCAGCAGGCCGACCTCAGACATGGTTCAGTGAAGGATTTCAGACAGGATACAGAAATAAAATTAAAAATCCAACGCCAAAGTCAATTATCTTCACTATACTAACGCCACATCAGAGAGTCATAAACTCCTTATAAAACATAATAAATTGAAATGTAAAATACACGTCCTATGCAGGTAAGAAAATAGTTCATTTTAATACCAAAAGGAAAAACGTCTGGCAAAATTTAAGGCTTGATCTTTCCCTGAGTTAAGCCAACACATTTTCCTCAAAACACTTACGATCTGACCCGTGCAACCTGGAGCAGAGCAGGCTCTTGAGGTTAAATTCTTCCAGCTGAAGGAGGCATTTTGTGCAGAGCTTCTCTGTGGAGATGAGCCAGGCGCAGAAATCGAAAGCTTACTCTGCTCTCACAGCAAGGCCAGTGGGCATCTGGACCACCAGTCTAAAACCACTGCCACGCTCTCAAGGTCAATTAACCGTAACTCCCTACTATACCCCTTCCACCAAGAAATTTGGACGTGGACTTGGGAATCCACAGGCTGTGCCGTAACAGCAGTCTGCATACAGCACTATGAAGTCCACTTTGGACTTCACACATATCTAAACAGGCTCCAGAGCTGCCTGTATATAAATAAGGCATGTTATCTGAGTGGAAAACGTTGGAATGCTGTCCTGTTAGGGAGGGTGCTTACCATCCTCTTGAAAGATCTCTACGGAGAAAGCCATTCAAATTGCAATCTAGCATCAGTAGACTTTATTTTCTTCCAACTCACAGGACTGTGGACTTTCTAGGGAGGCATAGGTATTGTTGAACGCTGTAAGTAGGGTTGCAAAAAGACTACGCTTCTCCAGTGGATTACCTGGCAGATAGATAGAGTGCCATACGCACAAGAGGCTTGCTCCTTACTGCAGGACTGGGAAGCACCCTCCCACTCATAAAAATCACTGGAAACATGGAAAAGGTTTTGTGAAATCTGAATGTAGATGACCTGAAGAGTTAAGAGGACCACTGAGATGAAACCCTGCAAAGTATCTCTGGGAAACTGCTGTATATTCAAAGATATGCAACACACATGCCTAATGTTTGGAAGTTTAGTGATTATGAAAATTCTTTATTAAGCCTCTATTTACAGGGTGTTTTTCCATAGAAAATCCGATTCCATTAAAACAAAATTATTCACTCTCTGATGTTTGACAGTAAGGTCAATGTTTTCTTCTCGCAATAGCTATGCCACTGTTTATTTGCACAGTCTGTGCTAACATACTTTGATTACTTCTGCATAGAGGTAAAACATTAATTATTCCAACATCTTAAACTGATTCATCGGTTTTATTATATTTAAAACTTGTGACATCTTAGCAAGTTTCTTTGTTTATAAACCATAAAAATCCATGAATTATATTCTAGTTAATGCCATATTTATTCTTTGTGGTTAATGAAAATACAAATGTAAATTTAAATAACCTAATCTCGATATATTTTATTTTTTTTCCCAGAAAATTATGCTTCATAAATAATTTATTTCATGCTGCCTGAGAATACACATCATTTGTCAAAGGAATGTTTTTTATTATAAAATTTATCTATTCAAAAACTTACTTAGGAATGCATGTGACGAAAGTATTTTAATATTAATTTATTTATGGATTTTTAGAAAGCACTGAATGCACAACTTCCACACGTATATTTTGCATTCATCCTAAGTCCAGTATTGACCTTTAGGATCACCAAGATGTATTTGGGATTGATGTTAAAAGATTTGCTTCACTCAGTTACACCTATTCCGCTCTACCTTTTGTCAGATTATCACTGCAGATCTCTTTCACAGACAGTATCTCATATCAAACAGCAATTTTACAAAGTTTTATAGGCATTTAAGAAAAGAAACTTTTTAAAAGTTATTTTTTAAGATATGAATACCTGCTATAAAAGAACATACGTATTTTTACTACTCTCTTCGTGATAAGGATAGTAAAAGTACAGTTGCATGGAAATAGTTACCAAAAATTTTGCAGTGTACGTAAATGAATGACCAACTCCTTTCAAATTACTGCATATCATTAACTCTGTTGGTTGAAAATCTAACAACAAAAAAAAATCTATATGCTTTGCAAAGTCCATATGAGTACAGCGTCCTAACCATCACTTTTAGGAAAGCACGTGCCAACTTTTCAATTGCAATCAGACTTTAGAATAAGTAAAAGGCTATTTTAAAAGCTGATCACTCACCTTCACGGATTTTGAAAAATTCAGGTAAACATAAAATAAACATGGTAATTATTCCTAGTACCAATCTGAAGAGTTCTGATTTTCTCAAAAGCAAGCACATGTCTCTGAAGCACTCCCATCCAGCACAGTGGTGGTAACTTCCTTCCTGGTTTAGCTCTTAACCTAGTGCAGACTTTATGCAAAATGACGTCTATTCATTTCCTTTTTCCAATATGACTTTTCTTTTTACTTCTAGTTATGTTAAGTTGTAAAGAGCCAAGTTCTGTTCTTACATCGGCATAGATGAGGATGATTGAGACAAATACACTGAAGACAGAACTCGGGTACCACAATGAAAATACTAGAAAAGCCATGCATAGAAACGATGTTATTAATTTGGACTAGGTTTGTTTTAGGAACATCGCCCCCTAACGGCCAGTTTTACATACCTTCTAAACAGTAAATGAATCATTTTTGCGAAGGAATTTTGTTCTCATTTGGCTAAGAAGATTTTTTAGAAATGAGTCAGATCCTCATTATAAAGATGAGTCAGACCACATGAGTCAAATATGGAGATTTTATTGTTTTATTTATACACATATGCATTGGGCCAAGGGGAAGACAATTTTATGTAATACAGAATCTCTAAGAGTTTATAACAGACTATAAATTTGATCATTACAACTTAAGGTTTTTGATCTGGCAAATAAGCGATGTACTAAGTACAATGAACTGAGGGTGAGATGTTCATATTACCACTGCTGCTGTATTCTTGAAAGACGACGTGTTGCCAATCTGTAGAGTGTCTTCAGTGTGTGTGTTACTATCCTTTACACCACAAGAAAACTGGATAGAGCCATTACTATTCCTATACATCGCAGTCACAATTTTTCAGCTAAACTTTCCAGTTAAAAAAAGTGAAGTCTTTTATTTTGACAACCACCATGATATTCCATAAATTCTTCTTACAGATGAGACTGCGAAGAACATTTCTGAGAAGTTCTGAACAAAAGTACTCTGAATAATGCATATGTAAAAACAAACAATTCGTCTCAAATAGAGTGTATATACAGTATGAAGGATTTTATTAATTCAGAAAGCTCTCTTCTGATACAGTATTTTTCCCACAACCTATTAAATATTGAGTGCTACCAAAATGAAGCAATGCTGCTGAAGTTAAAAAAAAAATGTCCTACAAAACTGAAATGCCCTTCTTGTCATCTAGTTATCTCAGAAGATAAGTAAGCCAGGTGGAAGCAAATGCAGTATTCATTCTATAGAAAGGCTCTTAATGGAGCTGCAGTGAATACAGATTTGTAAATAATGATATTTTAAATGTAGTACTTTTATGCAATGAAAGCAATGAAACCAAGGCAAAATGACCAGATTTTTCTGACAGTATGATACAACAGAAGTAATAAAGATATGAAAAATCACAGATAAGAATTTAAGCAGTAAAATACACTTACTGTGCAACTTACATTTGTCATCTCTTAGCAAATTAGCTCTACTATGTGAGAGACTGCATTGCCCCTTAAGTATCTTCCATACCAGTTATTTATATTTTCCTCTTATCAAGATTGCATGGTGGTTGATGGTTCACCCATCCTTTCTGCCCAGAAGGAATGGAAAAAATACTGGAAAATAACAGGAGGACTTTGTCAAGTAAAATGTATATTTTCTGAAACATTCAGACTTCCATCGTTGCTG